GAACAAATTCTTGTGCATAAAACGTTATAAAGTTAATACAGATAATAACCATGCCTTTTTTTTGTCTATTCTGCAAAATTTCATTTATTTTAGCAATTGATTCATTACTCGTATCTTTTTCATATTCTTCCGAGTAAAAAGAAGGCCAATATTCAATACTATCTTTTGCATAAAATACCATTTTAAACCATGAATTCCAACATGTCTTATTTGGTAATAGAATTTTACACAGATTTTCAACTCCATGTATTCGAAGATGATTTAGATAACGACCTTTGTATGCAGGTGAGTTAACAAATGTCTCTTTAATTTTTGATAAAAAAATTTTTACAAGATTAAAATCAGGAAAAATTCGCCAAGTATCACTAATAATATAATAAATATTACTATATATATACGTATTATATAAAAAATATAAATATAAATTTATTTAAATTATAAAATTTATTTACCCAATAAGATTAATAATGTGCGCACAACACAGTGCATAAACTAACTGCGGCATAACTGGTTTTAATACTTCGCGGTAATATTTTTTCATGTATGCCGCTAAATCAGAAGCAAATAATCTTGGCAAAGTATAATCAATATTATATTTAGCCAAAAGAGCTAATAAAACCCCTCCAACTGTTGAATTGTTAACACGATCCAAAAAATTAACAGAAACTAATTTTGTATTTTGGCGAAAAATAAAAAGTGTATTTACAACACTACGTGAGCATTCATCCGTAGTTTTATCCATTATTATTGCTACAGATTTTTGATTAAAAAGATCTTGAAGCAAAGAAAAATGATTATTAAATACACGGGGTAAGTAAAGTTGACGTAGTGTAGATGCTTGAGGAATTGCGCCACCTTCTTTAAGGTGTTTTTTAAAAAAGGGAAGTAGACTATTTACTTTTTCAAGAGGAATATTTGCTAAAGAAAAGGCTTCAATTAAATCCTCTATAACTTCTTTTTTCGATTCGGATGTAATTGCCGCACTAGCAAGTGTAACTTGCTTTTTTGATTGTTCTTTATTTTCATAAATTTGTTTATTTTTTTTATGTCCTTTTAAATTACAATGTCCATCGATAGTAGATTTAACTTTCCACTCAATGGACAAGTTACAATAGTTACAAAACAGAATTCCCCTATCTTCTCTAAAAACACCTGGATACTCATTTAGATGAGTAGTAATAGAAATTTTTTTCTTTTGTGTTGTCATTAGTCAAAGGAAAAAAAAAGAAGTAAAATTAAAAAAAAATGAAATCGATATCAATTTAGTTTTAAAAAAAAAAAGCTCCATAAAAGTAATTTTCTCTTTATTAAACTGATTACTAAATGTGAAAGTTTGCACAATCACGAATCGAATTATAATTATTAAAGACACGTATAAAAATTTTAATATGTATCAAACTTGCTTACAATATACGTAGAATTGGAAAATAACTTTCAAAAAATCAGTAAATTATTGCAAAATTAGTACCGATTGATATATATGAATAACGAGTAATTTAAGGAATACCCATTTTAGAGAAGATTAAAGTTTGAAATAACAGGTAATTTAAGGAATACTTATTTTACGGTCTTGGACCCTTGGATCTAAAGTATGACGAATGGTATAAACTAAAGTTGACTTTGTTGGCATTTTTGACTTTGATAAGATTGAATAGTATTCTAAACTATTTTTTATCTCATGCATAAGCCACTATACTATATTTGGGCTATCACTATAGATTTCTGTGAGAAACTTTCTAATTTTGAAATTCTGTGCCATTAATTTTAAATTCTGTGGTATCCTGTGATAACCAGAGTTAATTTCTGTGATTAGCTGTTTTTAAGGAAAATTCTGCTGTTTTCTGTGAACGCAGTAAATCATCGGCCCTGATCTGATATAATATTTTTCTTATGCGATTTTTTAAAACTACGCCATATATTCTGCAAATTTATACAATCGAACTTTTTTAAAAAAACTGACCTTGCATCCATCCTTCCGAGGAACACACTTGTGATCGGAACCCGGATCTTCAACAATTTTACGAATTATGCCCCGAATTATGGCCACCAAAATCAGTTACGTAATCGCTTTTTAAATTCCACAAGAATAATAGAATCACGAGATCACAAGATTTTTGAAGAAATAATCGAAGTTTTTTTTTTATTATTATATTTATTCAACTTATTAAAATTTATTTAATTATAAATTTTATTTAATATACGTATAAAGCTTCAAATTTGAATTTTTTATGTTACTAATAAACTTTTAAATGTCATCTACCATTTTTTTAAAATTCGATTCAATACTTCGAAGCCATTTTTTTGTTTGGGAAAACTATTAGACAATCAAGTGCCTAAAACATAAAATTACTAACAAAATTTATTAAACATGGAAATATAATGAAAAGAATTTTTAATACCTCATGAAGAGTTCATTATATTTTGGTTTTCTGAATTTACCAGGTCGATCGTTAAATTGACTTGTGTGTAATTGATTAAGGTTGATATTCGAATATTTTCCCATAAAGTTTCTTTGAGAATTGCATTGTATCTAAATTAATATACCGTAATATTAGATTTAGAAAATTTAAACCATAATATAATGACAATGAACTTGCAAAAGCTTCATCCATGTTATTTACTAACTGTTTGGGAAATATCTAAAACTATCTTAAGATTCATATAAATATTGCTTTCTCCCTCAACATCCGTAAGTTTTTCATAAACTATATGATTCAATTTCTTCGGATTTTATAGCATTTTCTTTTTGCTTGCGAATTTCATTTAAAATTTGATCCTCGCGTTTCTGTTTTATGCTTCCATTTACACGGGGTTATACACTTAAAACATGACTTATTATTATTTTGAAATGCAGTTTTTTGGTTTCGTAATTCGACAAGATGAATAAATTATTTTGGAAAATATTTCGTATTATGATATTCAAAGAAATAAAATTTCATCGTAAATTGTTATTATTATTCTTACATATGTTATTAATCAAATGTCGTCATTATTATATTAATTATTAATATTAATATCGGCAATAAATTTAAGCTCCGTTATGTAAATGATTTTGGTGGCGGTACTAGATGGGTCCTCCAATGCTATCGCATATGCTACGTATGCGATAAAATCCATGTTTATGCACATATTATGCTATCGCAGATTTTCGACGAAGAGTTCTAAAAGATTGCCTTTTATGCTTTGATTCTTACATCATTTCATGTGTAATTACGTTGATCTTGCCTGCTTCCCATGCTTTTCACGTTATTATGCCGTTACTGTATGAGGTTGTGGCTGGAAAGTGTGACTATCTTTCTTTCGATCTTAAGCTGATAACTTTGTCACGAGAAACTTTTTAATTCGTCATAACATTCAACTTCAAAGACTTATTATTGATTAATTTGTGCTAGAGGATTTTTTTTTTTTAAAAAAAAATATCGAATTTAATTACCCTAATTAATTTCAAACCAGCCAACCACATAGCTTCGTTCCGGACAGACATGTAATTTATTACCCTTCGGGTATTTTTCTAAATGGCTGCTTTACACAGGTTTAGCGCACAGTGACGTAGGGATACGTAGGTTTAAACCTTAACGTGAGTTACAGGAGCGACCGTCGATGTTACATGACTGACTTTTCACCCGGTGTGCAACATATAAAAAAACTATTTTACAATACCAGATCATTCCGACAGTACATGTTATGATTATAATCCCACACCATTTTTATTATTAAAAATGGTGTGGGATTATAATCATAACATGTACTGTCGGAATGATCTGGTATTGTAAAATAGTTTTTTTATATGTTGCACACCGGGTGAAAAGTCAGTCATGTAACATCGACGGTCGCTCCTGTAAACGTGAGTACGTTGAAATTTTCAGACTTCTACTCGGGTCGACGCACCGAGCCAACGTTGCTTTACACTTTAATACACCAACATCACGTGTTATTCAAATAATACATCTTAGCTAGTGTTTCGATCCTTAATCCGACCATCTGAATTGATCCTTAAATATAAATAAATTTAAATATCCAGATCGGAGATTTTTATTCGGATTTGTCAAAGAACTTAAATAGCGGACATAAGAGTGTTCTCAAAGCTAGCTTTATATCTAATCTGACACGGATTCAATCCGGATGGCCTGTCAATAGGATCGAATCCCTACATGTAGCATTGTTTACTCGACTTGGAAATAAAACTTTAAATTCAGGTTTATTTTTTTCTATCCATATTTTATTTTAAAAATCAAGAAAACACTAGTTTTTGAAGGAAAAAAATTAAAATAGAGAGTTGCAAATTTTTTTTTATCGGCCACTTTACACAGTAAATACTACTGCTTTTGCCATGAAGATAGAGAAGATTGATTGATCAAATAAAGAGAATAATTATTTTTAAAGGTGAATAAGGACTTTGTAATCAGGTTCTTAGTCTACAAAATGTATCATACCGAAAAGTATTCGCGATCTTTACATTTTTATAAGTGTGGTTTATTATTAATGTAAAAATCGCGAATTTTATTAATGTAATATGATTCGTTAATAAAATATATTGTATCTATCCATGTATTGATCTATGAGTTTTTTTCTTGCGCATTTAGACTGTTGAAAAACATCTTTTAAAAAAAAAAAACTTGTTACATTGCTAACGAGAAAATTATTTGAATCAAGCAGATTTTCTTTAGGTAAGAAAGTTAGAAAAGAAATTATAGATATTATAGATCTCTTTGGAGATGGCGTTATTTGTAAAAGCTTTCTGGAAATACAATCTCTCAGTATATTACTCTTATATTTAAAAGTGATCATATTCAGTTATAATGGCAACATCTTTACCAAGTGAATCATTGCAAGAAATTTTTTCATATATACAATACGACAAAAAGGCATAGCTGCCTCTTTGTAAATAGAAATTGGTGTTGTAATATTATACCTCTTTTGTGGAAGCAACCATTTCATTTTTGGAAAGATACCAGTGAACCATCTCCAAAGCTTACCGAGGTATATTTAAATTTCTTATCCGACAAATCAAGAGAACGGCTTTCCGCAAAACCTTATCTTTTATTACCAAAACCATCAAAGTCTCCTATATTTCATTATCCAATTTATTTGCAAAATCTGGATACAGAAAAATTATATCTAGCAAGTCGAAAATGGCTAGAAAATATTGAGCATTTCTTGGAAGATTTGGATTACAAAGAATATTCTCGTGCATTGGCTCGTGAATTGGGTATTTTGTTTATGGAGCAATGTAAAAAAATTATTCGTCTTGAAATACATCATGAATTAGTAATCGTAGAATTTGATTCGGAAAAATATTGGTCTGAAGAACGCTACGCGTTATTGAATGATAACACATATACATCACTTCCGCTTTTTATTGGAGCAAAGAATTGTTTGCGTGATCTTCGCGAATTTGAATGTCATCGACAAAGAAAGGTAGGCATTTTGCTAAAGATGGCAGAATATTGTCATCATATAGAAAAATTAGAAGTCTCAATGTATAATAGTGATGAATTAGTATGTGATGTTGAAGCTGAAGCTATAGGTCTTACATATCTTATGTTAGCACAACAAGGATTAAAGAAATTTGTTCATAGTGGCAACAAATACGAATGGCCAGATGTTGCCAAGTAGGGATGCATCGGTCCGGTCCGGTCCGTCCCGGTCCCTAATGGACCGATTAAATAGTGATTTACGGTCTGGTCTGGTCCAGTTATCGGTCCCAAAACGGTCCTTCTATAATTACGTCATCTCTAAATGCACGAGATCTTATTGGTCGAAAATGACGTAATTACAGATCGTCGGATGTAAACAAACATCATATGATCTACGTTACACCTGATCAAGAAATTTGATTGGGTGATACGAAGATCACTGTTATGTTTACAGGGACCGGTCCGGACCGGTCCTTTAACGGTTCCACGGTCCTTATCGGTCCCGGTCCAGGACCGATGCAACCCTATTGCCAAGTCATTTAGTAGCCAGTCAAAAACCCTTACTTGCATTGATTTTTGTGATTTGGATTTTGATCCAGTATGCGATCCTTTCTTGGAATCTATTGCTTTATTAAATTACTTGCAGAAATTGACATTTCGATATTGTTCACCATTTACTGAACAAAACATGACTTCATTATGCGAGGCACGCTTTCCACACTTGGAAACATTGCGATTTTTTTGCAGTCATCCACCTCTGGAATCTTTAGTACAATTGATTAATAATGTCAAAGATACAATGGCATATTTAGCTATTGCACCCGAAATATCAGAGAATTATGGTAAGTTTTTTTTGACAGGTACTGTAAAAATATTTAAAATAAGTATTTAATTATAACATTATTAATTTTGTTTTTAGTCGAACATGTGAATACTTTAATGTATCTTCCACTTGTGAAAGCATGTTCTGGCGTTAAAGTATTGGAGTTATCACGTCATTTTTCACCTGAATCTCTTAAATACTTTCTTAAAAATTCTCGAGCCCCTATTGAAATTCTACATTTAGGGAGATGTTGGAAGTTAAACGCAGTTCGTCTCGAAGTAGTTTCAGAATATGCAAAATCATCAAATCTTAAATTGGTTAACTTACGATTTGTATCTAAGAAATTACCACAAAAGAAAATTAAACATCTTCAAAGTCTCATAGAAGAAGTAATTACAGAAGATTCACCGATGAAAGTAAAAAGGTTATTATAATTATTGTTTGTGGAATTTAATCTGAAATGAAGGGTAGGCGGGATCAAATAGGTTATAAAGCTTTTGCTAATTATACTTTATTATTATATTAATTGATGCATGAATTTAACAGTATTAAAATAAATGGTTATATAATGAAACAAATTTGGATTTTTTTTTGCTATTAAATTTCGAATTTAAAGACTCTTATGTCAACAATTTAGTAAGATAAAAATAGAATTTTGAGTAAGTTATTAATATAAAAATAAGCATATAAAATAGTATTGATTTCGAAAAATTCCAAGACTTATTATTGATTATCTGCATTATCCCTCCAAGCACTTTTTAAAGTATCAATACCTGCGACATCTTTCACAGAAAACCCTTTTCTGATCCAACCATTTTTCACTGTAACAATACCGATTTTGTCTTTAGGTAAAAAACTGCGTGTAAAATCTAAAGCGAACCAAATATTTGACAATCCCATTCCCCACTATTACAATATTTAAAAAGGATGTGACAAATATGGTAAAAATAACATTTTCTTAAATCTATTAATTTAAAAGACTTACTTCTTTCATCGATAACATCCAAAGATTTAAATCTTCTGCATTATCAACTGAATCGATTTCTGTTAGTGGAATAGTTAACGAACCAGCAAATGGGAAATAATAATTTTTAATGATTAAATTTTTCGAAGTTACGGTTATAAATTTATCCGAATAGAGAGTAGGATCTGTCATTCTTTTTTTTTGAAAAATCGAATTTACTTGAAAAACGGTAATAATAAATTTATGATTTTTGAAAATTTAGATTTACTTGAAAAGCGTCACAATAAATTTATGAAAAGGCTATTTATAGGAGCATACGTGTTTCACTAATACATCTCATGATTATACATTTCATCATGCATTGTTAATAATCCGTCAATAAATCACACTTGCTAACTAAAAAAATTAACTATCGCTATATCTTTACTGGCCCTTAGGCGTTATAAATTTTGGTTCCACATACGTACGTACGTACGTAAAAATTCTTGTCGAAATCTTTTTTCACTTTTAGTGAGATGTAGTGAGATATAGTGAGATAAAATAAAGTTAAAAATTCGATGTAGTTGATGTAGTGAATTTTACTAGTAAACTCATAAATTCTCATAATATAGTGAGAGCTACTCGCGCATTATTAAGACTTTGAAATTGTCTTGGTGTCTAATGCCAATCTGTGATAAATCCATCTACATCTTTTGCATGATTCGAGATTTATCATTAAAATCATAAGTACTCTATTTTTTTTTATTTTAATTTATTTTTTTTTTATTTTTTTATTATATTAATGGCATGCGTATATTTTCGACGATTTTAAATTTCATATTTTAAATTAGCTCTTAAATTTTTTTTGGTTAATTATCCGCTCTGTATCTGTAAAGATAAAAAATAATCATAAAAAAAAAAAAAAAAAAAAAAAAAAAGGGAAAAAAAAAAAAAAAAAAAAAAAAAAAAAAAAAAAAAAAAAAAAAAAAAAAAAGAACATTTAAATTTATTTTTGGTCCATAATTAATATTTAGATTTACAGTATAAACTCACCAATATTTATTTTAAATACAATGTTAAAATTTGCGTTCTTGTGAATTTTTTTTAACTGTTTAGCATATTATTTATCTTTACTCATTTTTTTGATCAAAATTTATATATTTATAAAGTTAAATAAAAGATTTCAAAGAATGTTTGAGAAATATATCAAAAAAAGATAAAATTAATTATAAAGATTACTTACTTCCAAGAAAAAAAACCAAATCGCAAATAATATATATAATACACTAAAATTTATAAATTAAGTGAGAAGAAAATATTATCTAAATCAATGGGATTAAATATTGTAAAATTTTTGATAACTAAGAAAAAAATAGCTATAGTTGTACCTTCTTAAGTACGTTTTACATTAACACATTTACATAGTTTAATTTAAATCTAAATTTGAGAAATTAGTCGAGTTTTCTACTTCACTCATCAGTTTACTAATACAATCTGTAAAATTTTCCGTATCATATAATTTACTAGTATACATTCCTTGTGAATGTGCTTGTATGATCGGCTCGGTTTTAATCTTATTGGCTTCCAAAAATTGATTTTTGATTTCATTATCATCTTTCAAATCTATTTCATCTAACCAACGAGTTATAATTTCTTTAATTTCCATTGCAGTAGGTCGTTTATCAAAATCTTTATCCATACATTTCGCAACTAATTTAATATAACAATCGGGTCCTAAACATTTAGGTCTTGTCCCACCGA